ACGAAATACGCCACTGGCGGGGATAGGGTGTTGATAATAATAATAATAAAAAACAAACGGTACGCAGCTGCGGATCATAACCTCCTCTGCTACAAGTGAGGCCTTGTGAGAAGAATAGCAGTTAGACAAGCTCCCATTAGTACATACTGGTAGACAATGTGCTACTGTGGCAGTTCATGAGGCACTTAATATACCGCAAGCAGGACACTGTACACATGTTATTGAAGCATGTGGTCTGCAACCGGACCACAACTTGTATCAAATCTCCAGCCACACTAAATCTCGAAAATGCTTAATCAGAATCCTTCTTCCCGGCATCCCCACTTCCCAATCCCGCCTCCAAGTCTCTCCGTACCTCCCCTCTCCCAACCCCGCCAATGCCACCCACACCTGAACCTGATCTCTGTGGCCGCGACTGCTTCGGGGACTGCTTTGGCACAAGACCTACACTGCTACCAGCAGCGCCGCCGCTGCTACTGCCGCTGACTGCTGCTGCTATGGGAGAGGAAGGGTAGAGGAGGGAGGACATGCCTACTAGCTGTGCCACGACTGCACACGCCATCACATAGGTCTTCCAGCCCTGCAGGGTGTTGGGATGCACAGATGATAAGAAGAAAGATATGCATTGTGCAGGACATCCCCACTAGCTGAGATTGTGGGAAGAGATGTGTAATGAAGGGTGACAATGGGGTGGGGTGTGCACATAAGAATTGGGGCGGCGGGATGATGAGGGGATGAGTTGGTGGGAGAATAGGATGGGGTGGGAGAATGGGATGGATTGGGAGATGGGATGGTGGGGAAATAAGGAGTGATGGCAGGATGGAGGCTCTCTCACCTTATTGCGAGGGTTTTGAGCATCGAAGATCTTGAGAGCGAGGATGATGGCGATGAATCCACAGACGATCACCAGCCGTCCCACCTGAAAAAGGAGGGAAAATGGGAGGGCAAGGGGGGAGAGGAGGGGGTGTAGGAAGTGGAGGAGAGAGAGATCTTGAGTGACTGTTGCTTCGCAGCATGTGTATCCACAGCCTCAAGATTGAGGCATCAATCTTGAGAGCGAGGATGATGGAGATGAATCCACAGATGATGACCAGCCGACCCACCTGGTGGGGTCAAACAGGGGAGGGGGGGAAGAAAGTGGGGGAGAAAGAGAACATGAGCGACTGTTGCTTCAAGAGAACCAATACCACGCACGCATGAAGTATCAACCTTAAGATCGAGAATGACTGATGATGACCAGTTGCCCTACCTGTGGGGTCGAACAGGGCAGGAAGGGAGGGAGCGCAGGTTTCCAATAACCACCCTGGAGTTGCGAAGAGTGTTGATGTACAGCCATGCATGCGACATGCTCAACTGCGCCTGTATGTATAGCCCCTCACACGCACCCAGTGACCACCACCCACCACTCCATGCGGTGCAGAAAGTGCAGTCTCCCAATGAGCGCCCTTGAAATCCGCAGAATGTTGAAATACAGCAACACGCCGAGCAGCCCCCCCAGCTCCGCCAGAATCACCGCCGACACGCCCAGCACGCATGCAGCGTGCTGAAGTGCGCCTGTACCATACCAGGCACCCAGACCTCACCCACCCACCCACCATGCGGTGCAGGAAGTGCAGCCTCCCAATGAGCGCCCTGGAGATGCGCAGAGTATTAAAGTACAGCAGCACGCCAAGCAGGCCCCCCAGTTCCGCCAGGATGACAGCCGACACGCCCAGCCACGCGTGTGGTGTGCTGAAGTGCGCCTTGAGGCGCGCGTGGCGGTGGGTGAACATGGCGAGAGTTCCAGCTAGCGCCAGGACGAGGCCGGTGAGCTGGAGGCCCAGGTGCAGCCGCATAGCCTCCTTGCGCCGCTGGGGAAAGGGAGGAGAGGGGAGAAGAGGTGAGGAGGGAGAAGAGGAGGGGGATGGGAGAGCTGAAGTGGTCCAACTCCAAAGGTGTGCTGAAGGTTGGAAGAGGGGCGAACACGCCCAGCCTTGCATGCAGTGTGCTAAAGTGCGCCTTGAGTCGCGCGTGGCGGTGGGTGAACATGGCGAGAGTTCCAGCTAGCGCCAGCACGAGGCCGGTGAGTTGAAGGCCCAGGTGCAGCCGCATCGCCTCCTTGCGCCGCTGGGAGAAGTAGGGGAGGTATTGGGGGGGATGCGGAACGGGGAATGAGGGATGTATATTGAGTCCAACTGAAGTGCGCCTTGAGGCGAGTGTGGCGGTGGGTGGACATGGCGAGGGTTCCGGCTAGCGCTAGCACGAGGCCCGTGAGCTGAAGGCCCAGGTGCAGCCGCATAGCCTCCTTGCGCCGCTGGGGACGGGAGGAGAGAGGGTAGGGAGGATGGGGAACGGGGAATGAGGGGTGTATTATGGAATCAACTGAAGTGGCCTTGAGTCGTGCGTGGCAGTGGGTGAACATGGCGAGGGTTCCAGCTAGCGCCAGCACAAGGTGAGTGAGCTGGAGGCCCACAAGGATAAGGCGACGGTAGTAATCGTTCAGGAATAAGTACAAGGTGAGAAGCCGGAGGGGGAGGAGTGTGAGAAACTATTTTGAAGCCCGAGGCACAGGCCGAGAGAAACACTTACCCGTGAGGGTCTGGCGACGATAAAGACGCCTTCAGGGATAACCAATAGGAAGGCCAAGGTCATGAGCGCCACGTGGACGGCGAAGAGTGATTTTTCGTAAAATGTGACTGTAATGAAGATCGGCGAGAGCACCGCGAGGATGTGGAAGAGCCATGGCAGGTCCCCTGCTGCCATTGGCCAAACTATAATTAAGAATTAAATCTATGATCTCTATAATTCAGTATCTGATTTTTAGGGATGCGAATTCCAAACAACCACGAAGTCGAAAGCGCCTCGGGTTAGCAGACAAGACGATCCCACGTGGTCAACAAGATTTGCCGGAGTGAAATTGATCGTTCCTCTCACGACTGCGTCGACGCCCTGAGCACATCAAAACTGGTATGGGTGTGGGTCCAGACCGCCTCGCGTGGTTGCGAAAATCCACTCGCAAGTGGTTCAGGCATGAGACTAGACTCACTAACAATAAACACGTAAGTGCTGACGATAATATGCTAGGCAGGAGCTAGACTAGGCAGGAGCTAGACTAGGCAGGAGCTAGACTAGGCTGGAGCTAGACAACTGCTGTTGAGTGTCTGACCTCGATAATGCTGGAGTTCCCAAGAAGATACAAGGGGTTTTTTTTTGCGTTTCAGTTTCATGTTCGTGCTGCTACGTATAGTCACAGACAATATATAAGGTTCCGCTTTCTATTTACAAATACACTGTTATGACACAGTACAGCTGTTTGATGTGTTTTTGTAAGCTCGATGCTTGTAACGTGAATCACAACCATGTGACGCAATGGGTTTGAAAGGAGAAAATCCTTCCAGCGACTTCGTCTAGCGAAGTTTCGTTATGTGACGAATTTTCGTCGAGCTGTCTCGGAAATTCTGCCTACCGCGTCGCTGATCACAGCGAAAAGCGCATCGCCGCCACGCCTGCGCAAATCACAGCCAGAGAGATCCGCCGCTGGGTTACCCAGCCACTCACTCGCAACACGACTGCTGGCGTGTCAACAACACTACAAAACCAACTTCCGCCACACACTATCCCTCCAAAAGTTCGCACGGGCAGCCCCACAAAAACCGCATTTTTCTGTGACAATGATTTGTTTTCCAACTTCCACGACCCCAACGGCCGTTTTTCTCATTGGCTTAGAATGCTGGAATTCCTCAAATTATGCAGTGAAGAACAAACCTTTGAATCTGGCTCATCCCAATCCAACGGTCAAAAGGCACACACGGTCAGACATCCCCGTTCCCAGAACGGAGGGATCGATTCACTGTACTCAGCCACCTGCCCGGCGCCTGAGGTTTACGGCTGGCTTGCCCCACCGCGGACTTGATATTCCCCGCGGGTAACACCAGGAAGATCATCGCGCGCTTCCCCGTAGAGCCCCCCTCTTTTCCGCCAGTACAACTGCCAAAGCTGCTGCGGTTTCTCTCCGCCATTCACATAAATCAGGATCCAGCAATCCGCCATGACTTCACCATTATCAGTTTTCCATTTCACTACTCTCTTCTCCGCCTTCGCTGGGATCAGTTTCGGTCTCGAATAGGGAGCGCGGTACCATTTCCGACTTAGGTATCTGGGAGTATTTTTCCTGTTGTGAACGCATCCATTCGTCTGCCTCGACCTATTTTTCAGCTTGTTCTGGCTCCACAACTCACCGCTCTACCATACAATCTTCAACCATCGTTCTGTTCCTGGTTCCTCTTACTTCTGTTCGAATCATATAGCCAGACTGAGACAAAGGCCCCTGCCTGGTTACCTTCTTCCCTCGACAGATCATGGCTGCCGTGAACAGCCATTCAAGACGACACTCGTGGGGTCAACTCCAAACGACCAGCCAAATTGCTAACCATGAATTCGTTCATCCTCCTTATAGAGTTCCCCCCAAGCCATCCACGCTATCTTCAGCTGTCTCCACACCATCATCAGCAGTTTTTAGGAGCAGCCGAGGTGTCAAGCTCCCCGGATCGACTGTTGTGGACGATTCTAGGTCTTTGGCCTTCCATTCATCCGCGTCTCTCGCGAGAGATTCTATCGAGGATCGACTTCAGCGAAATCCTAACGAAGCCGTGCGACCTCTCGGCTCTCGCGCGCGAAACGCCTTTTCCGCGGACCTCCCAGTATTGTCCTTCTCGATAGAGGAACCAAGCTCGTTCGGTGTACCCTCCATCGTTCCCGTAAGTAGAGGCCCGAACAGCTCAACACGCTCGACCGAACGTATACGGGAAAATCCGTTTTCGTCGGTTCTAGATAATCTCCGCTCGTCCGGATTTTCTCAGCTAATCGACCAAGCATCCAGCCGTTTGCACCGCATTTCACATTCCGCCTTAGCTTCAGGCAAGAGAATCTCTCCTGGCCTTCGCAAGGAGGCCTCCGCTGATCGGGGGACGACCGTTGATAACGAGGGTGGCGGGGAACGCTGGCGCAGAGAGCGCGCGGGCATGCGCGCAGTGTTCGCGGCGCTGGACGCGGACGGCGACGGGGTGATCTCCGCGGACGACCTCCGCGCGTACTCAGCCCAGCGCGGGCTCCCCGCGGGGTACGCGCTGGAGTTCGTGAGCCGCGCGCAGCATGGGCGGAGGGGCGCGGAGGAGCATTTATACGGGGAGTGGCGGACGGATCCGCAGGGTTTGCGCAACGGCTTGTCCGGTGGCGGATGGAACGGCGCGGGGTCCGCGGCGGGGGGGCTTCAGGCAGGCGGAATGGCGGGAGCTGGCATCGGCGGAATGCCGATTTTGGGAGGGGGGGAAGGAGTGGCGTCATGCGGACAGGCAGGGTCAGGCGGAGCGAGCGGAACGGGCGGAACGAGGGGAGGCAATGTGGCGCTGTGCCTCGCGTCAGCGGGGTTTGCGGCGTCGTCCTCCCAGGTAGCTCCTTCTACAAGCTTTACTGTCTAGCTCCGAGTCTATTCTTCCTAATACTTCTTTCAGTCAGCACTTTCCGCATCTTAAAACTCCTTTTCCCCGCCATCCGTCCCCTCAGGCGCTCCCGCCGTTGGACCTTCCGGCGCTGCTCTCCTCTGCGGCGCAGCAGCTTCAGCGCGGGCTGGGCTCGGCGCGCTTGCACCTCAGCAGCCTCAGCAGCGGCGGAAACGGCGGAATCGGCGGAAGCAGCGGAATCAGCGGAAGCGGCGGCGGCTGCGGCGGCGGAATCGGCGGCGGCGGCGGAGTGTCGTATGCAGCATTCGAGGAGTTCGTGGATGCGAGGGACAGGGTCCTGTGGGACTCGTTTAGATGCATGGACAGTAACGGGGATGGCCGCGTGTCGCAAGCGGACCTGGAGCGCAGCATGAGGGTGCGTACTATACATGCACTTTCCCCAAGGCCACTCCTCCCTAACCACGCCTCTTCTGGCGCCTAACCACTCATACTTGCCTTCCCCCCCTCTCTTCCAGGACCTCGATCGTTGAGGCGCCTCAAAAGTCACTCGCTCACACTCGTATGCCCCCCTTCTTCTCCCGCACTCTCTTTCCACCAGGACCTCGCGTCCCGTTGCAACCACGCTGCTTCTGCCAACCCCATCAGCACTGCCGGTAACACTGCCAACGTCACCACCACCACTACCAACCTAACTGCTGGCAGCTGTACTCAATCCAGCAGCAGCACTCAGACCAGCAGCAGCAGTACTCATAGCAGCAGCAGCAGCAGCAGCAGCAGCAGCAGCAGCAGCAGCATCCGCGCAATGGGGTTGGGACAGCCGTGCACTGTGGATTCAGTTGGGAGGACTTGTAGCGGGAAGATGGTGAGAGCGGTGCAGCAGCAGCCTGTTCCGCAGCAGCAGCAGCAGCAGCAGCAACAGCAGCAGGAGAAGGCAGTTCTGCAGCAGGTTAGGCAGCAGGCGCGCAGAGGCGCTGCTGCCGGGGATCCCTTGTCTCAATCCGTATCATTCGAGGTATGTAGCCCTTGCTACCACTGCGCTTGCTACCAGATGGTTCCATCTGTGCTTGCTTGCACACGCCTCTCCATTGCAACCCCCTCCTCCCCACCCCTTTTCTTCCCGACCCCATCCCTCCCTTCCCTTCCCCGCTCTCACGTGCACTCCTCTCCTGCTCTCTTGTTCTTCCTTCCGTCCCACAAGCCCAGTCAGCACCTCTCGTTATCCCCACCAACCCCACCTTCTCAGGAGTTCCGAGACTACTTCACGCTGCTCCCCCCGTCCGCCCATCTAATCCACTACTGTTTTTTGAGAATTCTCAAAAAACATACGCTCCATCTAATCCACTACTGGATCTCCGCCTCCTGCCCGCTCGACTGCCACCAGCCCTCCTCACAGCCCATCCTGCCCCGTCCCTCCCTCTCCCCCGAACACCTTCTTCCCCTTTCAGGAGTTTCGGGACTACTTCACTCTTCTCCCCACGTCCAACCATCTATTCGACTATTGGATCTCAGCCTCCTGCCCGCTCGCCTGCCACGCTCCCTCCGCACCACAACCCTTCAAAGCGCGACAAGCACTTGAGGGGGCTTCAGCAGTAGTAGGCACGGCTGCCACAGCTGCCACTGCGGGAAATGTGTTTAAAAGGAAGGTTCCACGAAGGGGGTCTTTGAGGAGAACTAGCAGCGGCAATAGCAGTAGCAGCAGCAGCAAGGGTGCCAGCACAGGCGGCAGCAACGGCGGCGGCGGTGGCAGCAGGAGAAGTAAAGGGGCGGGCGGCGTGTGGCGGCATCTAGTGGCGGGCGGCATGGCAGGAGCTACCTCCCGCACCGTGACAGCCCCTCTGGAAACTCTCCGCCTGCGCATGATGGTTTCGTCCGAACATGGGCTGCTGCAAACATGCTCTGTGAGTAAACCGTATGACTTGCTGTGATCGCTCAGTGTGAGTGTTGAGACGTCTCGAAGATCTCCGTGACAGCCCCTCTAGAGACCCTCCGCCTGCGCATGATGGTCTCGTCCGAACATGGGCTGCTGCAAACATGCTCCGTACGTGGGTTGGGATGACCATGTTACGTATGCTTCACTGATGCCCCCCTCCAACACTTTTCATGCATGGGTAATCCTCACCGCACCGCGATGGCATTTTTCTGGGGCAACATGGTCAACGTTGTGTGCTCGGCCCCCATGCATGTCTCCCTTGACCCCTTCCTCACCTTCCCTGCCCTTCTTCTCCGTCTCTGTAGCTTCCCATTGCAGCAATTGTGGAGCGAGGCGGGATGGAGGGCATTTTCCACGGCAACATGGTGAACGTGGTGCGCTTGGCTCGTGTGCCCTCTCTCGTGACTCATCCCCCCTCCCGTGCCCCTCTCCTCGCTCATCTCCTCTTTCCCATCGCAGCAAGTGTGGAGCGAGGCGGGCTGGAGAGCCTTTTTCCGCGGCAACATGGTGAACGTGGTGCGCTCCGCCCCTCAGAAAGCAATAGACTTCTTTGCATTCGAGGCCTTCAAGCAAGCAATTGCCACCGTCTTCCCCACGGTATGTGTGCAGTGTTCCACCACACTGCTCGTGTCCCAGGCGTGTTTTGAGACCGTCTTCTCTTTGCTCTGCTCTGCTCCACCACAGAGGCCATCGACTTGTTTGCCTTGAGAAGCTTCCAGTAGCCATTCTCCAACACCTTCCCCACCCTGCGTGCTGGCTCTCTGATTCCCCCTCCCTCCTCATATCTCCTCTCCTCTACCTCCTTCTTCACCACCTCCTCCCACTTGTCAGGGCCCTGCGGGACTTCAGGTGGTGACAGCGGGTGCTTTAGCAGGTGCCACGTCCACCCTGGCGCTCTACCCTCTCGACGTGGTCAGGAGCCGCCTCACTGTTGCCGCCCGCTCCCAGGTGCGTTGACTTGCTGTTGCCGCCCGCTCCCAGGTGCGTTGACTTGCTGTTGCCGCCCGCTCCCAGGTGCGTTGACTTGCTGTTGCCGCCCGCTCCCAGGTGCGTTGACTTGCTGTTGCCGCCCGCTCCCAGGTGCGTTGACTTGCTGTTGCCGCCCGCTCCCAGGTGGGTTGACTTGCTGTTGCCGCCCGCTCCCAGGTGGGTTGACTCGCTGTTGCCGCCCGCTCCCAGGTGGGTTGACTTGCTGTTGCCGCCCGCTCCCAGGTGCGTTGACTTGCTGTTGCCGCCCGCTCCCAGGTGGGTTGACTTGCTGTTGCCGCCCGCTCCCAGGTGGGTTGACTCGTTGTTGCCGCCCGCTCCCAGGTGGGTTGACTCGCTGTTGCCGCCCACTCCCAGGTGGGTTGATTTATTGTTGCCGGCCACCCTCAGTCATGTTGACACACTGTTGCAGGCCGCACTCAGGCGGATTCTTGTTCTCTTTGGTTCCTTGTTCATTTCAAATGAGGAAAGGTGGGAGGTCACAACCATTGCTAGGCGTCTCCCTCTCTCCTTTCAACCACAGCTGCGTCACACCATCTGTTGATGGTGGCGCCATCCATCCTCCCGTTCCTCCCCTCCCCCTCCACCATCAACAGTACACAGGCATCGCCCATGCTCTCACCACCATAGCAAAGACAGAGGGAGTCCCAGCACTCCACCGCGGCCTAGGCGCGTCCCTGCTCTCCATCCTACCAGAGGCTGCCATCACGTACGGCTGCTTCAACTCTCGCTCCTTGAATCTCACCACCTCTTTTTCCTTTCCCCCCTTTTTCCCCCCCCTCCACCCCCCCCACAGTACACAGGCATTACTCACGCCCTCACAACCATAGCCAGGACAGAAGGCGTCCCTGCGTTGTATAGACGCCTGGGAGCCTCCCTCCTCTCCATCCTACCAGAGGCCGCCATCACATATGGCTGCTTCGACCTGCTCAAGACCGCTCTGCACCGCTCCACCGGCCGCACCGTGGGAGTGCTGCCCGCCCTGGCCTGTGGCATGGTGCTGTTTGTCACACCCACTCACTCTCTCTTTCTCCGTTCTCCCATCCCCCCTCCACCCCACTTCCACCCTTCGCTCCCACAGTACAAAGGCATTGGCCATGCCCTCACCACGATAGCAAAGACAGAAGGCGTCCCAGCACTCTACCGAGGCCTGGGCGCGTCCCTCCTCTCCATCCTACCAGAGGCCGCCATCACATACGGCTGCTTTGACCTGCTCAAGACCGCTCTGCACCGCTCTACTGGTCGCACCGTTGGCGTGCTGCCCGCCCTGGCCTGCGGTGTCGCCTCCGCTTTCACCGGCCAGCTTGTCGCATACCCTCTCGAGCTCGTTGCCAGACGCCTGCAGGTCTCTGCCGGTGCTTCTGGTGCAGTTGCAGCAGGGGCGACGAAGCAGAATCTGGTTACCGTTACCAAGGCGATTCTGGCGGAACGGGGGGTGGCTGGGTTGTACCAGGGTATTGTGCCGGCCTCCCTCAAGGTCATTCCCATGGCGATTGTGAGCTTTGGAGTGTATGAATCGGTGAAGTTTGCTCTGGTGCAGTTAGCTGAGCAGGAGGAGGGGTGGAGGGAGGAGAGGGAGAGGAGGCGGGAGGAGGAGGAGGGGAGGAGGAGGTGGGTGGAGGAGGAGAGGAGGTTGGTTGAGGAGGAGAGGAGGTTGGTTGAGGAGGAGAGGAGGGGGAGGAGGGTGTGCTTGCCGGTGTGTAAGGCGTGCTGGCGGGAGGGAGGGTTGTGTGGGCGGCAGAGGGGGAGCGCACTGCTGGTGGTGTGATGGTGGTGTGGATGCTCCGATGGGTGTAATCTCACGCCAGTAGGGTTGGATATCATGGGAGCAAGGCTGGATGTCAGGCGCGCTAGTGTGGCTGATTGGAGATGCCAACGCGACACGCAGTGAGACTACAGTTGCTGCACAGCAGCTGGTGTATGGTCTAATGCACCTTCAGAATCTCCCACAGCGGAAGCTGCTCCAAGTATACAAACTATGGCTTTTCGCAGGTGCATTGATGGATGCTTTGGTGCAAGCATAATATGTGTGTGCTGTAGTCTAGGCTTGCTGCATTGGCAAGCTGATTTGAAGCATCGAACGTTGCCTGGAGGAAATGCTAATCTCCATGTTATAATGATGCTTTGAGTTGGTAACGTAATTTGTATTGCTATTCTTCGTGTACTCTAAGTCTACTATACATTTATAACGGTTGTAGAGCTTTCATCGTTTTTACTGTTTTCAAGATTTGGGAGGTTGCCGAGCCTGGGGCTTGCCGAACAGCGCCGAAAAAATCGACGGACAGCAAAGCAAAGAATGCATTGCAAGCCTGGAGCCCCATTTTTCGATAAATTAGGTACTTCCTCCTAAAAGATAGTACTGACTGAGCTGGTAGGATCTATTTATTAGGTGGTATTTCGGTGAACATAGTGCTAAGCAGGAACTTTTCGGTATCATCTCACCTCTTCAAATACTTCGAGAAAGTGGCAGTGGCGAAGACGACGAAAATGGCATCCCGTGACCGGCGTCGGTTATCCTCGTTATTGCTTTTGCTTCACGTGCTTGCGACTAGTTTGGTGTTCGCTAACGTCGCAAAGTTCGCGAAAGCGAGTAACTTGGGCTCCGGCGAAGTTCGCCGACCGGAGGAAGTCACTCAGGGCTTCGAGACCATCTCAACGGACATGCAACGCGTCGTCGAAATGCCGGAAGATTCGCAGAAGGTTCTCCTGGACGGCATGGGTCAGGCACTCGTGTCGTCCGGCATGTGGCCGTGTAATATCTTCGGCGGCGTTAAAGCGTGTGTCGCGGTGCCTTCTGACGGAGCGTTCATGCAGCAGTGCGCGAATGTCGCCAGGTCGGAGGTGGACTGCGCTTATAACCGCGAGACGCTGAGTGACATTAACGAGGATCCGAACGTGATTATGAAGGCGAAGCTCGAAGAAGCAGGTGAGTATAACGAGCGAGGGAAAAGCCAAACCAAAAAGGTGAAATAATCGAGAATTCTTTCGAGACGTCTCAAGAGACGCTGAGTGACATTAACATGGATCCGAACGTGGTTATGAAGGAGAACCTCGAAGAAGCAGGTGAGTAAAACGAGTGAGGGGAGGAGCCGAAACGAGAGGGGTATGTGGTTGGGCGATGAAAATCCTACTCTTAACAGTTCCTGTATCTCCGTTGCCTTCCTTCGCTATCCCACAATCCGGTGTTTTTTTGTCTTTTCTCCACTCTTTTCCCCTCCCCCTTCCTTCCCTGTCCCGCGTGTCTGGGTGAGCTGCTTCCTTCTGCTGCAGCAGACAGACCTCATCCCTCGGTCATCGGATCTCGTTCTCTCACTCACCTGCCTCTTTCCTCCCCGCTCCCCTCCGTCGCGTTCAGGCTTCTAGGCGTGTCTGGATGTGTTGCATCGCTTCTGGTGCGGGCAGACCTCCCTCCTCGGTTAACCTGTCTCCTTCGCTCACCCACCCGCCGCTTCCCCCGCCCCTCCCAGGCTTCGAGCCGTGTCCCGCGTGTTTGGACGCGTTGCATCGCTTCTGGTGTGGGCAGACCACCCCCACGTGTGGCACCTTCGCTAAAGTGGTTGACGAGATTCTGGTGAGTGTAGGACGGGGGTTGAGGGAGGGGAGGAGGGTGAGGAGAGAAGTTGGTTTAGAAGGCAGGAGGGGGAAGGAGGGGGGGGGGGGGGTGGGTCGGTGGGGGGATGGGGCGAGAAGGAGGAGGTGAAGGGGAGTAGCGCAGTGCAGGGAAGATGCACCTAGAGGAGCTAGTTTTTTCCAACCCAGCCCCGCATGCTTCAAACGGCTCGCACTGACTCTCAGGCTTTAGTACATGCCTTTCTAAACCCACACTCCCGCGTCCCTTCTGTGCCCTTCTCCCTTTCTTTTCCCTCCTTTTTCCCGGCGCCCCTCCCGTCCCCTCCATCCAGCCTGAAATGAGGCAAGTCAGTGCGGGCAAGATGAAGCCAGACGAGCTCGTTCAGTCCAACCTCCCCCGCATGCTGCAAGCCTTTTCGCTCGGGCTGCCCTGCCGCAAAATGTGCGAGGCGGTTACCGCCACCTGCAGCTGCGGCCGCCCGGCCACGTTCGGGCAGATGATGAAAGTTTTGGAGCTGAAGCGCACGCAGCAGCAGGCGGAGGCGGAGGGGGCGGCGGGCAGGCCCCTGGCGGAGAACAAAGATTTGATTCCGTTTGGGTTCAGCACGAACATGTCTCTGGCCACTGCTGTGAAGATCTTCAAAGGCGTGTGGGACCGACCCGTCTGCGATCTCTTTGCTCCGCATGTAAGGAAGACCCGGGGGAAGAGGTAGGGGGTGGGAGAGAGAGGGAGCGGGGGGTTAGGTGTGGGACAGTTTCAGAAGGGCAACGGGTTTGAGACATCACATTTAATGGGTCGGCACGAACATGTCTCTTGCTACTGCTGTGAGGACAAATCATTCCCACATCTTCCCTCCCCTTATTTCCCCACTCCCCCTCACAGGATGCGCCCGGCTTCCAGGGCGTGTGTGAGACGTGGTGGGCGGGCGCGGACAAGAACCAGACGTCGTGTCGCTGGTGCGAGTCTAATGTCTCCCCAAACCATCCATGGGACCATGCTTTCTGCTCCCCCTCACAGGATGCGCCCGGCTTCCAGGGCGTGTGTGAGACGTGGTGGGCGGGCGCGGACAAGAACCAGACGTCGTGTCGCTGGTGCGAGTCTAATGTCTCCCCAAACCATCCATGGGACCATGCTTTCTGCTCCCCCTCACAGGATGCGCCCGGCTTCCAGGGCGTGTGTGAGACGTGGTGGGCGGGCGCGGACAAGAACCAGACGTCGTGTCGCTGGTGCGAGTCTAATGTCTCCCCAAACCATCCATGGGACCATGCTTTCTGCTCCCCCTCACAGGATGCGCCCGGCTTCCAGGGTGTGTGTGAGACGTGGTGGGCGGGCGCGGACAAGAACCAGACGTCGTGCCGCTGGTGCGAGTCAAAGCAGCGGCCAGAGGACATGGACGAACAGATCGTGGCCCAGATCGCCCAGTCCGTATCCAGCATGATGCAGGTGGGGTTGCTGAGAGCATGTTGAGCAGGGGCTGTAGGTGCTGTAGGGGCTGTAGCCTGTACGTGCTGGTGTTAGCAGGGGAGAGGGTAATCTCGTGTCGCTGGTGCGAGTCGAAGCAGCGGCCAGAGGACATGGACGAACAGATCGTGGCTCAGATCGCCCAGTCTGTGTCCAGCATGATGCAGGTGGGTTTGCAGCATGTGTAGATGAGGGCAGGGCAGGAGGGAACCTGCGTGTGCTGTAGGTGCTGGTGTGTCGCTAGTGCGAGCCAGAGGACATGGACGAGCAGATCGTGGCTCAGATCGCCCAGTCCGTATCCAGCATGATGCAGGTGGGTTGTTGGGTGTGGGTGTGTGTATGGGTAGGGGCTTGATGGTGCGGGCAGGGGAGGAGAGGACGGAACCTGCTTATGCTGATGTGGCTCAGATCGCCCAGTCCGTATCCAGCATGATGCAGGTGGGTCGCAGGGTTTGGGGAATGGTTGCTGAGTCTTTGAGCCGAGGAGGAAAGAACCTGCTGGTCCGGTAGTGGTCGTAGGTGCTGGTGTGAGCAAAGGAGGGTGTAATCTCACGTCGCTGGTGCGAGCCAAGCCAAAGCAGCGGCCAGAGGACATGGACGAGCAGATTGTGCCATATCCATGCATGTGAAGTGCTGGGTATGCATGATGCTGCTGGTGTGCTGGGTTTTTAGATTCTGTAGGTGCTTGCTGGTGTGAGCAGCGGAGGAGAGAAGTAGAGAAGGGCACCTGCTTGTGCTGTAAGTTCTGGTGTGCCTCTGGTGCGAGCAAGGACAAGGATGGGCAGATATGTGGTTGGTGCTGTCGGCGCTGTCGGTACTTAGTCGGCTCGAAGCTCAAGTATGTCCTTGCACGCGTCTCTGCTTTCCATGTTGTTTCCATCTTGCAAACCACTTTCCCTTATCATGTTGCAAAGCCCTATTCTCCCTTTCATCTTGCAACTCCTGTTCCTTTCCTCGCACACGCCCCCCCGCAGGCTGGTCTCGAGCATGTTCTCTTTGCGGCCGCCTTCCCGGTTCCCAACCTAAAAGCTGCCCGCACCACCACCGCCACCACCCCCTCCTCCTCTGTGGCCTCTGCTTCTGTCTCTGCTGCCAATGCCGGCCCTGCAACTGCAACAGCTTCTGCTGGTGCTGCTAGTGCTGGTGCTGCTGTTGCTGTCTCTCCTGCTGTTGCCCCTGTAGCCGACGCAGCAGCAGTGGAGCAGGCAGAGGAGGAGGTGGAGCAGGAGGAGCAGAAAAGCTTCGACTGGCAGGACGACCAAACCGGGTTACCTGCTGCCGAACCTGTCGAGCTACCCCCGGACACTGTTCCTCCCGAGCTTATCGACCCTACTGCCGAACCTGGTGCCAAGCGTGCCGCCGAACCGGGCGCCGAGGCTGCAGCCGAGCCTGGTTCGGATGGGCCGGGGTATTTTAGAGAAGCAGCCCCGGGGGATTGGGGGTATAAAGAGTCAGAGGAGGAGAGAATGGCTAAAATGATGCGAGGGGAGGGTGTGGGAGAGGAAGAGGGGGAGGTTCCATCTGGGAAAGGTGGTACTGCTGGTGGAAGGTGGGAGGAGGTGATGAATGGGATGATGGGGGGGAGGGGAGGGCGAGGAGGTGAGGGGGGACGAGGGGAGGGGGAGAGGGGAGAAAGGGGAGGGGCAGAGGGTAGAGGTGGTGCGTGGGAGGGGGGTTCCGCTAGAGGGGGGACGATGATGCGAGGGGGGCCGGGAGAAGGTGAGGGTAATGAGAAGGAAGGAGAGAAGGAAGGAGAGGAGGAGGGAGCGGAGGAGCCAGGAGATTCTAGGGGTTCTGCTGTTGCAAGCGCAGGTACCACTTCTCCCAGTGCTCCCCGAACCGAACCTTCCACCGAGCCTGGAGAACCGGAGCGGCCACCGGTTTGGGAGAAGAAGGAATGGCAGGAGAAGGGAGGGGAACCGAGTGCCGGGTGGCGGGCAGAAAAGGAGGAGGAACCAGTTGAAGGGGCCGGGGGGGATGTGTGGTATCGAGGGCATGGGGATGATTTGCCCCTTCCGCCGAGAGAGGAAAAACGTGGGTCGCCTTTGGTGGCGACGATCTTTATTTTCTTTGCGGCGGTGGGAGTCGTGGGAGGTTTGGCGTTTTGGAAATTGAGGAGGGAGCGGAGGGCGAGGGATGGTGGGTTGCAGTATATCGACTTGCAAGAGATGAGCTATCGGCCGCCAGAGTTTTAGAGATTGGTGTGGATTTGAGAATGAGGCACGCTTAATACATCATCGAACATGTTCGCCTTTGAGGCGAGTGTTCCCATCACTTTTACCATTTTTGTAGATTGTTTTTATCGTCTTGGCTTATTGCAGTTTACCATTTGCTTGTCAAGTTGTATTTCCAATTCAAGTGTTGTCATACGCTATATTAGAAGTTTAGTACAACGAGTCACCTGTCGCAGTCCGTCAGCTGTCTCTTCCAATGGTGGTCCTGTCCTGACGGCTGACAGGCGGAATTGGCGAGATGCTGGTCACTTTCACCCGTCCGATGTTGACTCAAACGCCTCGCTTTCGAAAACGACCCCTCGCGAAACACGTGCCAGCTGTCCAATGGCTCGCGAGTAGCTCCACGAACCACATCCTTTCTCTCCCTATCAAACGCGATTCGGATTCGCAATGTGCTCCCGACATCGCGACTCGATTCCCCCACGCAATGTGCTCTCGAATTTCTCCCACCATAAATTTCCCCAACTTTCTGCTTTTCTCGTCACATCCACTCCCAACCAAACGCACTACCAGTTGACCATCCTTCCTGTGTTTCTCCCGCAACCCACACATATCCGCAGCGCAATCCCAAGCTCAAAACCATAGCTCGATACTTTTCTTTTGATCGGCAATAGTTCTTGCTTTAGGGAATTTTCTTGCAAGATCTCATAAGTTCGGGAAACATCTCGTTTCCCGCCATTTTGGTGCTAAGTGAGAAGCTGAAGACGTGGAGCCAAGCGTCATCATGGCTGTCAGCATGGGAGCGCGCGTGCTGTCGCTGGTTCTTCTTATCCACCTGACCATATCTTCGACGTGTAAGCTCTTGCAAGCTGCTCATTCGTTCATATGTACGAGAATCGCAAGTATCTTTTCCCAGGTTTTTAGGCGCTTTTTTATATTAAATTCTGAACCTTACCATTCTGATCTCTCCGACTCTCTTTCCTGTTTTCCTACCCTCCTTTCGCCCCAATTCCTTCTTCTCGACCAAATCAGCCTTATCCGCAACAGCTCAACCCATCCCCCTTCCACGAGTCACCGACGGCCCGGCAGCAGTGGTGGGAAGCGCCGCCAGCTCAGCACAGTCCGCGATCGGTGGCCCCGCGATCCCGGTCCAGAACCCGATCGGCGGCGCCGCGAGCGCGGCTCAGAGCGCAATCGGCGGCGTCAGTGGCGCGGCTCAGGGCGTGATTGGCTCTGCAACCACCGCCGCCCAGACCACGGCCGGCAATCTCGTGAGGACCGTTGGTGGCGCTCTGAACGGAGTTCAAAACACCATCAATGGCGCAGTGAACGGGGTTCAGACCGCTGCTGGCGGCACCGTCAACACACTTCAAAACATCGCTGGTGGCGCCCTGAACGGGGTTCAAACCACTGCTGGTGGCGCGCTCAACGCTGTTCAGAGCACCGCTGGGGCCGCGCTGAATGGAGTGCAGAGCGCCGCTGGAGGAGCTGCAGGCGCGGCTCAACGCACCCTCAACGCACCCTCGCACCCTCAACACAGCTCAAACCGTCGCTCAGGACCCACTTGGAGCAGTGCAGAGCACCGCTGGGGGAGCACTTTACGCAGTTCAGACCGCCACTCGAGACCCTCTTGGTACAATCCAAACCACTGCTGGAGGCGTGCTCAACGCAGTTCAGACCACGGCTGGAGGCGCCTTGAACGCAGTTCAGACCACGGCTGGAGGCGCCTTGAACGCAGTTCAGAGCACGGCCGGAGGAGCTGTCAGTGCGGTTCAGACTGCTGCTGGGGGAGCGCTGGGGGCGGTGCAGGGGACAGTTACTGGCCTGGGAAACGCCCTGACTGGCACTGCTCAGCAGCTCGCTACTACCGGTCCCGTTAACGCTATAAGAAACGCTGCTGGCACCGCTGCAAGCAACGTCGGGAGCGCTCTGAGCGGGCCTGTGGGGGTAGTGCAGGGAGTGGCTGGCGCTGCTGTGGGCAATGTTGCGAGTGCGTTGCGCGGGCCTGCTACTGCTGCTGTGAATGCCCTGAGCGGACCTGCTGGGGCGCTGCAGGCGGTGATGATGCGTCAGGGAGGCGTGTTGAGCCGGCCGCTTGAGAGCGTTCAGGGAGCAGTCGCTGGTGTTGCTGGTGGGGTGCAGAACGCTGCTGGGGGAGTGCAGCAAACGCTGAGTCGGCCGCTTGAGAGCGTTCAGGGAGCAGTCGCTGGTGTTGCGGGGGGCGTGCAGAATGCGGTTGGGGGAGTGCAGAGCACACTCGGCAATGTGGGTGCCGGTGTGCAGAGCACTCTTGGGAATGTCGCTGGAGGGGTCCAGCAAACTCTGGGGAACGCTGCTGCCGGTGTGCAGGGGACTGTGGGTAACGCTGCCGGCACTGCTGCTGCTACTGTGGGTGCGGGCGTGAGTGGTGCCACTGCTGCTGTTCCTGTGGTGGCACGCTCATCAGCAGAGAGCGAGCCGGGAAGGAGGCTGCAGGACAGAACAGCTGCAGCAGGCAATGGCCCCACTTCCACCGTTACCCCCACTCTCCTCCCCATCCCCACCGCCACCACCCCCACTCCCACCACCACCACTCCCACCACCCCCACACCCACCACCCCCACTCCCACCCCCACCACCGCTGCTGCCGGCGCGGGTCCACTGGGTGCCGTGCAGCAGGCTGTATCCAGTGCAGGCTCCACCCTTCAAGGCGTCGCCTCTGGAGCAGCAACTACTCTGCAGGGCATTACCTCTGGTGCAACCTCCACCCTGCAGGGCGTTGCCGGGTCTGCCGCCCAGCAGATGACTTCTGCCGCCCAGCAGATCACTTCTGCCGCCCAGTCCCTCCCCGGCGCCGTCCAGTCTCTCCCTGGTGCCATCCAGGGCGCAGCTGCTGGTGCTGCGGGCGGCGTGCAGAGCACACTCGGTAGCATTGCTAGCAATGCGCAGCAAACTCTGGGCAGTGCTGCTGGTGGTGTTCAGAGCACGCTCGGAAATGTGGCTGGCGGGGTGCAGCAGGCGCTGAGCAATCCGGTTGGGTCCATCCAGGGCGCAGCTGCGGGTGCTCTTCGCGGGGTGCAGAACGTTGCTGTGGGTGTGCAGAGCACAGTCGGCAGTGTTGCTGGGGGAGTGCAGCAGACTTTGGGCGATGCTGCTGGTGCTGTGCAGAGCACACTGGGGAATGTCGCAGGAGGAGTGCAGCAGACGCTGAGCAATCCGGTTGGATCCATCCAGGGCGCAGCTGCTGGTGTCGCTGGTGGTGTGCAGAACGCTGCTCGCACTGTGCAGAGCACTCTGGGCAATGTTGCTGGGGGCATGCAGCAAACTCTGGGGAACGCTGGTAGCAGTGTGCAGGGGACTCTGGGTAACGCTGCTGGAACTGCTGCTACTACTGCGGGTGCGGGTGCGGGTGCAGGTGCTGGCGTCGTTACTACTGTCCCTGTGGCAGCGCGCTCATCAGCAGAGAGTGAGCCGAGTGAGCCTGGAAGGAGGCTGCAGGACGGACCGGCAGGCACAGTCAGCACCGGCTCTGCAGCTATTCCCACTCCCCTCCCCACCGCCCCCATTCCCACCACCCCCACTCCCACCACTCCCACCACCGCTGCTGCTGGCATTGGAGCAGGTCCACTGGGTGCAGTGCAGCAGGCTGTATCTGGTGCAGCCTCCACCCTTCAAGGCGTTGCCTCCGGCGCTGCCTCTACTCTCCAGGGCGTTACCTCTGGTGCCACCACCACCCTTCAAGGCATTGCCTCCGGCGCAGCCTCTACCCTGCAGGGTGTTGCTGGGTCTGCCGCCCAGCAGATCACTTCTGCCGCCCAGTCCCTCCCCGGTGCCATCCAGTCCCTCCCAGGTGCCATCCAGGGCGCAGCTGCTGGTGCTGCGGGCGGCGTGCAGAGCACTCTGGGGAACGTCGCTAACGGTGTGCAGCAAACTCTGGGCAACGCTGCTGGGGGCGTGCAGGGCACACTGGGGAATGTCGCAGGGGGAGTGCAGCAGACGCTGAGCAATCCGGTCGGGTCACTCCAGGGCGCTGCTGCTGGTGCTCTTCGTGGTGTGCAGAACGTTGCTGCGGGTGTGCAGAGCACACTTGGAAGTGTGGCAGGCGGAGTGCAGCAAACGCTGGGCAGTGTGGCTGGGGGAGTGCAAAGCACCCTTGGGAATGTCGCAGGGGGGGTGCAGCAGCCGTTGAGCAATCCACTTGGGTCCCTCCAGGGCGCAGCTGCAGGTGTTGCTGGTGGGGTGCAGAATGCCGCTCGCACTGTGCAGAGCACTCTGGGCAATGTGGCTGGAGGGGTGCAGCAAACCCTGGGGAACGCTGGTAGCAATGCGCAGGGCACTCTCGGTAACGCCGCTGCCAGTGCTGCTGCTACTGTGGGTGCGGGTTCGGGTGCGGGCGCAGCTACTACAGTCCCTGTGGCAGCACGCTCGGCAGACGCAAGTGAGCCTGGAAGGAGGCTGCAGGACGGACCGGCAGCAGCAGGCAGCACCGGCTCTGCCGCTATTCCCACTCCCCTCCCCACCGCCCCCATTCCCACCACCCCCACTCTCACCAACCCCACTCCCACCACCCCCACCATCACCCCTGCTGCTGGTACCAGCGCTGGTCCACTGGGTGCGGTGCAGCAGGCACTCTCTGGCGCAGGCTCCACCCTTCAGGGCGTTGCCTCTGGCGCTGCCTCTACTCTCGGGAACGTAGCTAACGGTGCGCAGCAAACTCTGGGCAGTGTGGCTAGCGGTGTGCAGCAGACTCTGGGCAGTGCTGCTGGTGCTGTGCAGAGCACCCTGGGGAATGTCGCCGGGGGAGTGCAGCAGACGCTGAGCAATCCGGTTGGATCCATCCAGGGAGCAGCTGCTGGTGCTCTTCGCGGGGTGCAAAACACCGCTGCAGGTGTGCAGAGCACTCTGGGCAGCGTTGCTGGGGGCGTGCAGCAGACTGTGGGCAACATCGCCGGGGGAGTGCAGCAAACTCTGGGCAATGCAGCTGGGGGCGTGGCTAATGTGGCGCATGCGGCAGGAGGGACAGTCTCTGGTGCTGCCACCGGCGCACAAGCAGCACTCTCCGGACAGCTATCTGCAGCCCAGAACGCCCTGTCTGGCCCGATTTCGACTGTTCAAAACGCACTGTCAGGGCCTCTTTCCACGGTTCAGGGCGCAGCAGCGGGTGCAGTGAGGGGTGTGCAGGGGGCGCTGTCAGTCCCTGCGGGAGCCATCCAAGGGGCTGTTAGCGGGGTGCAGAGCACCGTGCAAGGAGCAGTGCAAGGCGCTCAGGGCGCCGTGCAAGGGGTTCAAGGAGCAGTGCAGGGGGCAGCAGCACAAGGGGCTCAGGGCGCCGTGCAAAATGCTGCCTCTCTCCCCACAGCTGCCACTCAGTTTCCTGCTGCTGCCGGCACTCCTGCTGCAGGTGCGGTTGCTGCTGCAGGTAATGCTGCTGGTGCTGCCGCTACCGTCCCTGTGGCAGCACGGTCATCATCAGAGAGCGATCCTACTCAGCCTGGAAGGAGGTTGCAGGACAGACCGGCAGCAGCAGGCAGCACAGCTGGTAGTGCTGGCTCTATTTCCACCGCTACCCCCACTCCTCTCCTCATCCCTACCACTACCCCCACTCCCACCACCCCCACTCCCACCTCACCCACACCCACCACTCCCACTCCCACCACTCCCACCACTCCCAATGCCACCACCCCCACTCCCACCACTCCCAACCCTACCACACCCACCACCACCACCGCTGCAGCTGTCACTGGTCCACTGGGTGCTGTGCAGCAGGCGCTCTCTGGAGCAACCTCCACCCTTCAGGGCATTGCGTCGGGCTCTGCCTCTACTCTCCAGGGAGTCGCCGGGTCTGCCGCCCAGCAGATCACATCCGCCGCCCAGTCGCTCACAGGCACCGTTCAGGGGGTAGCAGCTGGTGCTGCGGGCGGCGTGCAGAGCACTCTGGCTCGTGTGGCTGGGGGAGTGCAGCAGACGTTGAGCAATCCGGTTGGATCCATCCAGGGCGCAGCTGCTGGTACTGCTCGTGACGTGCAGAGTGCCGCAGGTGGCTTGCAGCAGACCCTGGGGAGTCTAGGAGCTGGGGCCCAGCAGACCATGGGCAATCTTGCAGGCGGCGTGCAAGGGACTCTGGGTAAACTCTAGGAAATGCGGCTGGGGGCGTGGCTAATGTGGCGAGCGCAGCAGGAGGGATTGTCTCGGGTGTTGCTACAGGCGCACGGACAGCACTTTCCGGAACCCTGTCTGCCGTGCAAAACACACTCTCAGGCCCGGTTTCCTCTGTTCAGAACGCACTCTCTGGACCACTTTCAACTGTTCAGGGCGCAGCAGCAGGGGCAGTGAGGGGCGTGCAGGGGGCGCTGTCAGTCCCTGCTGGCGCCATCCAAGGCGCTGCTAGTGGCGTGCAGGGCGCAGTTCAGGGCGCCATGCAAGGTGCTCAAGGCGCCTTGCAAGGGGCGGTGCAAGGGGCGCAAGGAGCCGTGCAAACTGCTGTACCACTACCCACAGCTGTCACTCAGCTCCCGGCCGCTGCTACTCCTGCAGGCACCGCAGCTGCTGCTGCCGTTGCCGCTGCCGCATCCGGCCCCACAGGTGCTGCTGCTACAACCCCTGTGGCAGCACGCTCAGCAGCAGAGAGCGAGCCTGGGAGGCGGCTGCAGGACAGCCCGGCAGCAGCAGGCAGCGCAGCTGGCAGTGCTGGTTCAACCACCACACCCCGCAACGGCCCCACCACCACCCCCACCAACCCCACCACTCCCACTACCACCGGTCCACTGAGTGGCGTGCAGCAGGCACTCTCTGGCGCTGCTTCCACCCTTCAAGGCATCACATCTGGAGCCACTGCCACTCTTCAGGGCTTAACCTCGGGCGCTGCCCAGCAGCTGGCCTCCGCCGCCCAGTCCCTCCCCGGCGCCGCCCAGTCCGCCGCCCAATCCATCCCAGGAGCAATCCAATCTGCAGCAGGGTCGGCGCAGGCAGCAGCAGGGGCGGCAGTGGGAGCAGCAACAGGGACTCTGAACCGGGTAGGGGATGCACTCACACTCCCACTGCGCCAGGCTGTAACGGCTGTAGCCCAGCCTCTTGTGGGGGCGGCACAGGTTGTAGCACAACCCCTGGGGGCGGCTGTAGCGAGCGCTGTGCAGCCGGCTGTAGCGGCACTGCAGGCGGGGGTTCAGGGGGTTGGTGCAGGCGTTTCGGGGATTGCCGGGGGAGTTGGGGGTGCGGTGCAAGCAGCAGGAGCAGGAGTGCAGAACGTAGGGAGAGGGGTGGTGGCAGGAGTGCAAAGCGCAGGGGCAGCAGTGGGGGAGAGGGTGCAGAGCCTCGGAGCAGCAGCTGCAGGGGGAGTGCAGAGCCTAGGAGGGAATGTGACTGGGGCAGCAGCAGGTGCGGCAGAGGCGCTAGGCCGGACTGCTAGCGGTCTGGGAGCCGTGCTAGGGAACACAGCGGCTGGAATTCAAGGGGGTATTGGCCAGGCGCTGGGGGAAATTACCGAGGCAATTCAGGGCGGGCCTGGGAATTTTGGGCAGGAGGTTGGGGAAATTACCCAGGGAATTCAGGGCGCGCCGGCGGTGCTGGGGGGTGTGCTGAGTCGGGCGGCAGACTCTGTCACTGCGGCAGTGGGAGGGGCGGCAGGGGCGGCGGGGAACGCTGTGACTGTAGCGGTGGATGCGGCTAGTGGCACGATTCGGTACAGCATTGCGGGGATTGGGAATGCGACTGAGTTGGTTTCTGCTGGGATCTACCAGGCTGCTGGGACGGCAGGAGGTGAGATTTATAAATGTGATTGTTGATTGTCTTCCACACACTCGCACTCACCCACTCACACACAAACACACTCACAATCACCCACTCAAACACACTGGTCTTGCACCCAGTCTGCTCAATGCTTCTCCAGTCTCTTCTCTCATACCCATTTCATCATCACCAACTACATGCACCCTGTCCCCCTTTCTCTACTTCCTCTTCTCTCCACCAACCCATTGCCTTTGTCAAATCAGGGGCTGCCAGGTCAGCAGGAACGCAGGTGGTCAGCCTGTTCAACCGGGTCAACCCAGTCAACGCCCTGTCAGCAGCGGGCGGCACACTCACAGGCGCAGTAGCCGCCACTCCCAGTGCCATCGCCAGCCTGCTGCAGAACCCGGCAGGCTTTGTCCTGCAGGCCACAACCAGGGGAGGTGGATCTGCTGCTGCTTCTGCTGGCAATCAGGCTGCTAATGGTTCTTCTTCTGGTGCTGCTTCTGGGGCCACGGAGACTCGAGTGGCGCCGCTGATTGTAAGGAGGACTGACCCTTAACCAGCAGATAACACTAAAGATTCTACACCCTTCATGCCAACGAGTCTGCTAGTGCCTGATGAAGAGCCTGCAGGCTGTGGGCTCATGCTAGTGGCACTAATAGTAGGACAGGAGTACAGTGGTAGCAGAGGAGGGAAGCTGTACTGTGCGTGCTGCAATGAAACTAATAGAAGCTGTTCTGTGAATCTGGCTTTTTCCACTCCTTCCTTTCTCCCTTCGCTTATCTCCTCTAGAGCTTGTGACTAATCTACCCTGTGACCTCTCTTTCCCTTCCCTTCGTGTCTTATCCCCTATCCCCCTCCGTCTCACCCCATCCCCGCCAGATTCTTGCGCCCCTCATCCCTTCAACCATCAGCACCAATTCTCTTTCTGCTGCAGCCTCCGTGGCTCCTCTGCTGGGCGTTCGGCGTCAAGGTGAGAGCTAATTAAAAAGGGGTGATTTTGCGCCTTTAGGCTTGCCTGTGAACTCCAGTGGTGACTTTTCAGTCGACTCAGAAGTCAAATTGGTGAGTGAGTAGTGGAGTGGGTGATTCTGCGCCTTTAGGCTTGCCTGTGAATGTAGCTCACCCTCTTAATCACTGGTCTCTACTTTTGACGTCTCAAAATTGGCATTTACCCTCTGAATCATTGGTTTCTCACTCTATCTGAGGGATGTATGTGTATGGTTGCATGAGGATTGCATGGGTGTGTGTGTGTGTGTGCCTGTATGTGTGTGCGTGTGCGTATGCCTCTATGTTTGTGTGTGTGTACACACCTGTGTGACTGCTTCGCATGTGAATGCCTTTGTGCTTGCGTGTGCGCGTGGATTTTCATGATGCAGAAACCACTCCAGCCACCACCAGAACAGTCACCAGCAACCCATCGGCTGCTGCAACGGGTCCAGCTACCCTCACCTCCTCTCGCCCCGCCACCACCACCACTGCTACACCAAACCCCACTACCTCCCTAACCACCTCCACCCTCACCTCCACCAGCAATCCCTCGTCTGCCTTCTCCTCCTTCCCCTCGATCCCCTCTTCCTTCCCTTCTTCCTTCCCATCGTCCATACCCTCTTCCCTCCCATCATCCCTCCCCTCCTCCGTCCCCTCCTCCACTCCCTCCTCCCTCTCACCCACTCTCACCAACCTCCCCACCAACACCCCCACCACCCTCCCCACCTCCAACCCCCTTCCCGCCAACACCCCTCTCCCCGGAGGCTCTGCCCAATCCTCTTCCGCCCCTGGCATGCTGCTTGGCATGGCTGGTGACACGGTAACCAATGCTGCACTGCAGCTGCTGCGGGGAATCCAGGGGGCCATGTCTGGGTCTAGTGGTTCCAGCAGTAGCAGCGGTAGCAGCAGTGGTACCAGTGGTAACGCAGGGTTTCCAAGTGGTAACACTGGGTTTCCTAGTGGTACGACTGGATCTGCCTTCCCTGCAGCTTCTCAAGGAGGTTCTTCTGGGGGAGGTATTGACTGGGCCGCTGCGTTGCCACTACTTCAAACCCTTGTCCAGCAAGCTACAGGCGGCGGTGGTAGTAACGCTGTTAGCCGTGGAAACAATGATGGTACAGTGAATGTGGATTTGAACGCATTGTTACCTGTGGCGGAAACTCTTATGGGGATGACGACAGGAGGTGCGGTAAGAGGGAATGCAAACCAGCTGGACCTTGGGATGCTGATGAATCTGGCCGGGGCCCTTGGTGGTGCCGTGCTTGGTAATCCATGAGTGGTGGAAGCTAGGAACAGTGTACGTCCCAATAGAGTGCTTGAGAAGATTGTTGTTTTCAGTGTTCGCCCATATACTCTGTTAGTTCAAAAACTACATTGGCATATGTAGAGCAGATGTCGTGAAACAAAATGTTTACAATCACGTAGAACTTGGAAGGATTAAATATTTTGGATGTGGAATATGTACTAGTGTAAGGATTTTTTTGTCAGAATCCCAACCACTAGACCATTGGGATAAAAGGGCTTGTTAAGTAGCGGGTCAGTGCGCCCATAACCCCCCAGGCCAACATGCCTGTAACCCTTTCCTAGGATCAATCGGGGATCACCAGTGGACCTCTGACACCCCCCCGCACTGGGATGCCCGAAGTGCACACACTGGGATTCGAACCCGAGACCTTCGCTCTGATACCATGTCAGAATCCCAACCACTAGACCATTGGGATAAAAGGGCTTGTTAAGTAGCGGGTCAGTGCGCCCATAACCCCCCAGGCCAACATGCCTGTAACCCTTTCCTATGATCAATCGGGGATCACCAGTGGACCTCTGACATTTTTCGGCATTCCTTACTGCGTTCTTCAACATCGCGTACAGAAGCAGCCGTTTTTCGCCCGTTACTGCTAACGGGGCTTCGCCAACTTCGCGCGCACTGTTTCACCAAACCATGCACCGCTGGCCCGGCCGAGTCGGCCTACGCTTCGGGACTAGCCCGAACCTCGATGCCCGCCTAGCACTAGCTAGCCCGCACGCACCGCGTAACCATTGCGTGTTCTCGCACATAAGTATTCGCTCATGCCTTCGCTCATACTTTGTACTCGTTTGACAACCTAGTGCAATCCTCGCTATCTCGTTCCATTGCACCCGTAACACTTGATATTCAGAGCCACTTTCTTTCGGACCGCGCATCTCCGCACCCAGGGAAATCAACTTTTGATTTTTGCACTCGAAGGGACTCACGCCCCTTAACACCTAGGAGCCGTTGCCCTCGCGTTCTCTCGTAAACGCGTGCAGCCACGACTGCGCCTAGAGCTAGGACGAGCCGCCGTCCCTCGACATGGCCGAGCACGTCGACGTCACGACACTCACGCAGGAGCGCCTAAACGAATTGCTGCAGCAGCTGCGCGAAAATTCAGAAGAAATTGCGGCGCTGACAGCAGAACGTACGTCACTGCAAAACGACGTCGCACGGGCGCAACAAGCACAGTCACAAACACAAGGCACGCAAGGACAAGGAGCACGTTAGGCATCACAACACGGAAGTGTGGGGCAACCCTCGAGCACGGCTAGTGATGGCGTCACCCGCACCGACGGGGACGATGACCACGGCGCGACACACCCAGGAGCGACGAATGCGGCCAGAAGCCAACCACGCGTCACGATTTCGATGCCGATCGGCGAATCAGCACTGCCGTCACCGATGCCGCTCAAGCCGCAGCGTCTGCCTTGCTTCGATCCAAGCCAACGGGGTGGTCCGACCGTTCAGGCGTGGTTCTTCACGATGAACGTATTTTTCGACGCCAACTACGTCTCGGAGGACTCGGCGAAGATTCGATACGTTGTGTCGCTGCTGCGAGGACCCGCCATGGATTGGTGGCGCATCATCGTCACGAAGCCGGTGAATTACGAGACTCTACCGACACGGGAAGGACAAACCGGACCCTGGGCACTGTCGTATTTTGTGGAGGTACCCCAATATCGCACGTGGAACGCGTGGTGCACAGGACTGCGCGCGAGATTCGAGCCAATCGCAGCTTCAATCGCGGCGCCTCAGAAGCTCCGCACTTGGCGCCAGCTCGGTTCCGTCCAGGACTACACCAGAGGGTTTCTGGCGTTGTGTGAGCAGGTGGGATACATGCACGAGGGAGAGCGTATCGACTGCTACATCGGTGGCCTGAAGCACGAGATCGCTCAGGAGATTCAGCTGTGCAACGTCACGGAATTCAACGAGATTCTCGCTATGGCGGAAAAAATGGATTTTCATCGCCGACCGAAACCGGGTTCCAATGGCGACAACAGCAGCTGGGGACATCGGACTCGGAGACCGAACGAGCACGCCACGATACGCGATGTCGCCGCAAATGCCGCTGCCGCACCATTCAAAAGGCGCTGCTTCGCGTGCAACAGGCCGGGACACCGTAAGAGCGAATGCCCGGAAAATGCTAAGGGAAAGGGGGAAGCTGAGCAGCAGAAACAGACCAAGCTGCAAGGAAACGCTGGGAGTCAGTAGCAGCCGGGCCTTCTACTGACAGGTCACGCCGCTCGCCCGACCCAATTGACCCTCACCGAGTGATTGTGCCGGTTCACGCAATCGACCACACCTGGCCGAATAAGGAGGGTACAACGATAGACAGCCCCATACTGCTTAGCGGGAAGATACAGACATATTTAGTTAAAATCTTCGTAGACGGGGGGGCTAGCCACAGCCTGATCAACACCGCCACAGCTGTCAGAATGTGCTATTTGTCTAGCCTGCAGTGGGGTTCTCAATAGTGAGTACAGCCCTTTAGGGTTTCCTATATGTACTCACCTGCTTGCTAGTGCAACCCCCCTTCATCTATTCTCACTTCTTGTTTCTAGTTAAGACATGCTATCAGAGCAGGTCGACCCCCCCCGGGTCGATCTTGTGGATGGGCCCACAGTATGCTTCCGCTGCAATCCTTCGTATCGCGCGCCCCGGGCGCGCGACGTTTCCTGCCTGCCGCGCGCTAGAGGCGCGTGGCGTTTTTTCTTCCCGCCGTGCGCTTGGGGCGCGCGGCGGTTTTCTGCCCGCCGTGTGCCCCGGAGCGCGCGGCGGTTTTCTGCATGTCGCGCCCCCCGTCGACCCTTGCGTCGCCCCCGGGGACCAGCGCGCGCCCCCCGTCGACCCTCGCGTCGCCTCAGGGGACCCGCGCGTGCCCCCCGTCGGCTCTCGCGCTACCCCACTGGACCCGCGCGTGCCCCCCGTCGGCTCTCGCGCTACCCCACTGGACCCGCGCGCCGCACCCCGTCGACCCTCGCGTCACCCTTGGGGACCCGCGCGCTGCCCCGCTGGACCCGCGCGACGCCCTGCGGGATCCGCGCGCTGCCCCCCGTCGACCCTCGCGTCGCCCCCAAGGACCCGCGCGCTGCCCCGCTGGACCCGCGCGCCACCCCTGGAGACCCGCGCGCCGCCCTTCCTGGACCCGCGCGCCGCCCCAGGGGATCCGCGCGCGCTGCCCCGTCGACCCGCGCGTCGCCCCCGGGGATCCGCGCGCGCCGCCCCTTGCCCTCGTGCAGCTGCAGGGTGGCTTCTTCCCCGCCCCCTCCCCCCCCCCTCCTTCCCCGTCATCTCTCTGCTGCGCGTGCAGCCGTGGGGGAGGGTATGGGGGTGGCGGGTAAGGGGGTGGCGGATGTGCGACGTCCCTTGCTCCTCCTCCTCCTCTCTCTCCCACTGCTGCAGCTGCCGCTGAGGGGGGTGGGTGTGTGGGAGCCGAGGAGTGGCGCTAGGGGGGTGTCGTGGGCGTGGAGCTAGGGGTTCAGCAGAGGGTGTGTGAAAGGGGCGTGGGACAGTTGGAGGAGGTTGTGCGGAGGCAGCCGTCGTGTCGCCAGCAGCGCCCGTAGTCCGGAGCCCTCGTGCTCTCGGTAGCCCAGCGAGCCTGCTGCGCCAGTCGCCCGTGGGTCAGTTTCTCCAGCCGCTCGGCGTAGCCGCGGAGCCAGTTACTCCTGTAGTCCGGGGCCCTTGCTTCGGTAGCCACTTTGTGAGCGCGGCTCCTGTTGCCCGTGTGTCTGCGGCTTCACCCGTCGCCAAATATCTCCACTCCTCTCACAGTCTCTCCTCCTCCTCACTTGCCCTCTGTGACTGCCTCTAGCTTTACTTGTGCTTGTGAACTATTCTATGCCTGCTTGCTGTGCTGATTATACCCCACTTTGACTATGGGGGTGTGTCAGAATGTGCTATTTGTCTAGCCTGCAGTGGGGACCTCAATAGTGAGTACAACCCTTTAGGGTTTCCTATATGTACTCACCTGCTTGCTAGTGCAACCCCCCTTCGTCTATTCTCATTTCTTGTTTCTAGTTTTGACAACAGCACGACGACTGAAACTGCCACTAAACAGATGTTTACATGAGATTGACGCACGACTGGTCGACGGCACGCACTGGCGATACGGGAACGTGTAGACCGAGTTCGGATCCGATGCGGGGGTAGCTTCACGTTTACCCAGGAAATGCTCGCAACGACCCTAGACGGGACCGACATTTTACTCGGCCGTGATTGGCTGCGACGACACAATCCGCGAATCGACTGGACGACGGGTGACTGCACAGTGCGAGTGAACAGTAACAACATCGCCCTACCTTGCTAGAGCTCGCCTGAGTCTTCTTCAGTGCGTGTCAACACGATCACGATGAAACGCGCCGTAGCGGCAGGGGCTAATGTGTATGTAGTTGACATTCGGGAAGCCGAGGCAACAGAGAAGCCGAGTGATTTACAAAAACTGCTCGCTGACGTACCGGATGACCTGGCAGCGTTACTGAAGCAATACAGCGGGATTTTCCCAGATGATCTGCCGGAGGGACTGCCACCTCAGCG